ATATATATATATATGACATGTCCAAAACACAGTCTCTTAAAGCCCAGATTTTAGGAAGACCCATGCTGTTCCCTAAGAAAAATCTTGTAAAATCAAGGTTAAAAACTAGGTTGATCTATTGATTGGACTAAAGATTAGGAATAAAACTTAACTCATATAAATGAAAAATAATCATTAAAAAAATAGTCTATTTTCAGTCATTCTGGGAGTCTTTCTTGGAAGAGGCTCAGTGGAATGCTGTCTCTTAGGATGAAAAGCAAACTTCAGGTGGTCTCTTGTGCAAGTTTTGTGGAATTTTTTTGTTTGTTTGCTTGTTTGAAAGTTTTTATAGTTGTAGTCAGAACTTGTGGCATCCTTGGAGAATCAATAGAGGAAGTCAGGCTCTAAATAAAGGTGGAATTAGATACTGTCAAGAGGATGGTGTGAGGCCATATCTTGCGTTGTGGGTATTGTAATTTTTTCTTCTGAGAGTTTGAAACTTGAGGTTTTCAATTTCCATTTAAGGGCACCAGATGCAGGAGGAAACCTTCAAGGCCTTCTTGTGCCAAGGTTTTTTTTTTCCCTGTAATTTGTAAAGATGATTGTCCACGGACTCACTTGCCATATTCACATGAGCTGGAGTGGTGGATACTGAACAGTACAGATTGTCGTTAGTTTTAAATAGCTTCCTACAGAAGTGCCTGGCTTATGCGTAGGGTGAAAAGTTGTGTGTTACTCTGCTGTGCATTTCTTTTGATACCAGAAGGCTTTGTAGAATGCTATAACTTTAAATAAATTGGAACAAGTGGGTGAAGTGCATAAATCATGTTTGAGAAGTAGTAATTTAAGAACCAGACTTTAAAAAGTTGTATTTAACATCTCTTTTTTTTCTGAAAGACAGGGAGTCTGTTTCCCTTTCGGCCCCTCACACGCAGGCACAGTTGCTTCAGACCTGCTGGCATCGTGCTCCAGCCTTGATTCACCTCCTCCCCACTCCCTTGTCCAAGGTTTCACCAGCATGAATGAGAAGTGACTCTTGCTCTTCACAAACACCTTGTGTGCTCTAATTGGATTGGTTTCGCTTGGGTTTTCTTCTGAGTGAAGAGATTTTGAGAAGCATGGTTCAGGGTTACTCTACCTGTTAGAAGGCAAATGAATTTTGGTGTCTCCTGGAGAGCCTTTGACCTCCCAGCTCATAAGTGGGCAGGGAGTGGTGTGTGTGGGCTCTCCCCTAACACTGATTATCTTTCTGCACAGGCAGCCGGGAGACGGCGTTCACCTATGCGGTGAGCGCGGCCGGGGTGGTCAACGCCATGAGCCGCGCCTGCCGGGAGGGCGAGCTCTCCTCCTGCGGCTGCAGCCGAGCAGCGCGGCCCAAGGACTTACCCCGGGACTGGCTTTGGGGTGGCTGTGGGGATAACATCGAATACGGATACCGCTTCGCCAAGGAATTCGTTGATGCCCGGGAGCGCGAGAGAGTTTACCAGAGAGGCTCCTATGAGAGCGCCCGCATCATGATGAACCTGCACAACAACGAGGCTGGGAGAAGAGTAAGTGGCTACCAAACAGCACATCCCTCTGCCCATGTCCGTGTCCATCCGTTTGGGAAAAGATATGCCTTGGCAGGGCTTGGGTCCATGCTGGGCGGTGACTAGCCAGCAAGGCTTGTCTCTGTTCTGATGCATGAAACAAGAAACATCAAATACAGGGTGGAAGTGGGTGGAGAGTATGTGAATTTGCACTGCTCCTGGTTGTCTGACAGCCCTATTGCCTTTCCCACGGGGGAGGATTGGGACCAAAGTGTGTTGTGTTCCCCTCCATATTGTTTCTTTAAAAGTACCCAACTCACCTTGGATTTTCTGTAGAACAGAATTTTATTAGTTTGCATTTCCAACCAGGACAGTGTGCATTGGAGAGGAGAGGGACATGCTGGGCTTCCCAGCCTGGAATTGTGCCGTGGGATTGTTCTAACTCTTTTTTTCCCTGCTTTAAGAGGATGTGAAAAGCTCCTCCATATTATTAGAAAACATGGTCTTCTGTGGTTGAACATGTCTTTATGGTTTCTTTAGTCTTGCAAATGCCTTAAATGAATGGGTGTAAACTATTCTTTTTTTTAATAGTCTGAATATGAAGAGCCAAAATCATTATTTTCCTAGAGCTTTAAATGCCAGAAATAGTCGACTGGAGACTTTACACTTGTGTTCTAAGGTGAAGAAGGATGAAAGATAATTGAAAATTAATAGTATTTAAATGTGAGAGGAGGGTGTCTGAAAGCAATGGACAGGCCAATGTACTATTAGCAAGAAGAAAAATGACACTTTCACAGTTGCCTATGGAGACTTGAGCATTTTTTTTCCTCCGTCAGTCTCATCTTTGCAGTGCCATTTGGCAGCATTAAGACTTTCTGTAACTGCTGGGTGGAAGTTGTCTACAGTATCATCTAATATGTCAGACCCCAGGATTTTTGGGGCAGTGTCAACAGTGACTTTTATTTCTATTTGTACAGGGCAAATGACTTGATACTTCCCTGCCAAAGCTTTGTAAAGAGGATATTGCTATGTAGCTGTCTCCCACCCATAGGTGTTTGGGGGTTTCTTCTTGGATGAAGTCTCTCTTCCAGAGCAATATTTAGGGTAGGAGGAGAACGTGGAGCCAAGAGTAGACAATCAGCTGC